CTTCCTTCCTTCCTTCCTTCCTTCCTTCCTTCCTTCCTTCCTTCCTTCCTTCCTTCCTTCCTTCCTTCCTTTCTTCCTTCCTTCCTTCCTTCCTTCCTTCCTTCCTTCCTTCCTTCCTTCCTTTCTTTCTTTTGTGTGTGTGTGTGAAGGAAGGGGGCTGAATTTCAAGAAGGCTTTCTCTAACTATAGTGAAAATCAACCTCCTGGATGTGTATATTCTTTGCAAGTTATATTTTCTCGTGTTGGAAAAGGATAACATTATTGGCTATTTTTGCTCCTTAATAAATGCTCTTTTTCCTAGCATCTTTTGTGTGTAGCTCAAGACAGTATTCCACTTTAGACATCATCATATTTTAGTACTTCTGCATCCTGGTTTGCACTGTTGGTCCCAAACCTATTACCCCATGGTCCATTCGCAAATTGTTCCAAACCTTTTAAACAAGTGCGCATGACTTTTCATTATAGTTACAAGCAGTCCCTAAAGATTGGAACCACACAAATCTCTATTAACTTTGTCATGTGGCAATTGCACGTCCAACTTTATTTAATTAGGTTTTCATAATTTGATTCTCAAATTAGGTTGTTTCCTCGACATTTCAAGCGAGGCATGTTTCCATTACAGTAGTGTGGTATTGGGAATTCATTGTGCAATTTTTATCAAAGATTGGGGGATAACTTGTTATTGGGACAATGGTTTGGGACCAAATGTTCAATTTTGCCTTATTATGTATCATGATTTAAGTGCAAACTTGAAAATTACATTACTTGCAACTGATTTCAATTTGACAATTACTCCAGGATATAAATGGAAGGCTTTTAACTGTAAATAAGGCTGCTCCTAGAGGTTCACGACCAGAAAGGACTCCCAGAGCATTCGAGCCTTCCTTCAGAGTTTATGTTGGTAATCTACCATGGCAAGTGGATAATGCTCGACTGGAGCAGTTATTCAGCGAGCATGGCAAGGTGGTTGATGCGAAGGTAGTATATGATCGGGAGAGTGGCCGCTCACGCGGATTTGGTTTTGTGACAATGTCGAGTGAGACTGAATTGAATGACGCTATAGCTGCTCTTGATGGACAGGTAATTGATATGGCCATACAATTAACTTTTTTGTACTTTCAGTTTTCTTGTATCAAAGTTGATGCTCAGAACCTGAAATAAATTTTGCTGTGAACAATAGTAGCCTCTGTTCTTGAGTTAAATGCAAGGGTAGTCTAACCATCCTCGATAATTCAATATGCCATAGATAAAATTGATCAGAATCATTACGTTTAGTGACATTCAATAATTAAACCATATAATTCATCATCAACCGGAGAATACTTATGCACTAGCCTATCATGCAGCTGAACATGTCTAATTATTAATTATCTGGTATTAAATGTTGAATCTAAAGATCAACCTTAAAAAGCAAACACATGTGCCAAATTAATATTTATCAAATATTTTGGGCATTTGAACTGCAAAATTTTGTTAAATATTGTTTTGGCATTTGATTTGGCTTGTTAAAGTTGATTTAAATTCAACTGTTGTCGTAGTTTAAATCAGTATTCCCTTGTGAGTAAATGAAACTTAGAGATACAAACAACTGGACAATGGGAAATGAATCCATTGCTAGCCGCCAACCTTTGTTTTGAAGTGAGCATAACTCTTCAATCATTTCGATTTCCTTGAAAACCCTTCTGCTTGCATTACCTTTTAGTTACATATAATTGGGGACACTGCACATCTGAGATCTTTCTACTATAGCAATCAGGAAAGAGTCTGGGGACCAAAACTTTGGAGCAAGTCGACCTCTAATAAAGCCTTCGGTGGGGAAAAAAGGAAGTCTGGCCGTTAAGAAATTCTACTAATACTCAGAGGCGTGCGTTTGGCATGCAGTATTAGATTGTATATGATAGTGTAATAGATATACTTTTACTTTTTTATTGTTGTTCAATAGCACGTTTAATCCACCTTAATAAACAAGTAAGAGGTGTATTGTTTCATTGATCTATCTCCAATTCACAAGTTAGAAAGAACGAGTTTCTGACTTCTAGTGTAATTTGTGATGCAGAATTTGGATGGAAGGGCGATTCGAGTGAATGTTGCTGAGGAAAGACCAAGACGAAGCTTCTTTTGATGAAACTTATTTCTACTACAATTATAGCATTATCCCATTTGAGAAGAAAATTTTTTGAGTCGTCTTTGCTTACGGTTCTGGTTTTGAGCTTGTGATGAAAATCAAAATGCATCATAATCGTATCAATGCATTTATTAATTCGTAGATCATATATTTTAAACTGTCTACTGTATGTTTACGATTTCACTATTTGGTTCGACCTGACCAACCCCCACAAGGTTTGTCCTACTTATTCATTCCAATTGCAATGGATTCTGCAAAAACTAGTTGCATTTTCACTGATAATGAAGTTAGAGCTGCTCATGGACAGGATTGCAGTAGACTACTAGACTCTAGTAAATTGCCGTAGGAAGGAAGATTTATACTTGGAAGTTTTTCTGTAATTTTCAGCATTCCATAGGAAGCCTACAAACATGAACTGTTTTACCACAGTTTTCGTGTTTTGAAGTTACCAACGCCAATGTGTTGTGGACTGATTTGAAATGTCCACCAAAGTGTATTTCCATTCGATGTGTAAGTGAGAAAAAATATAGATAGAATAAAACTTATTTTTTATTATTGATATATGTCTGGGACGATTAAAAATTGTCCAGTTTGATAGTGTACCACTTTTAAGAGATTGCTAATACTCTAACAGGTCTGACATCCTAGTCACGGTGGACATGATAAAAATGTCTCATTACGATGTGGTAAGATGACTTGACTTGTGATTTTACAACAGTCATTCATTTAGAGAATCATGTTTACGATTCTTTTTGCCACATCAACAAGGAGAAATTTTTATTCTATATACTAGGACAGAAGATCAATTCTCATACTAAGCACAATGATTGTAAAGTTCACCACACAACATTTTCATCGATCTATATGCAAGGTATCAAATATATTGTGTGATAGCAAATTCAATTTATCTATTAGATGGATAAAGAAAGTGTTGTTCAACACTCAAATTATTAACACTTTTAAGACATGCTAAAAATGTGTGATTGAAAATAAATTAGAAAAAAATAGGAATATTAAATAATTGGTAGGCTCGGCTATAGAATGTCTGAATGGATGGAATGGAAAATTAATATTTATTAAAGTATAAAATATTGTAGTTAACCAACAAATCAAGCCCCTATAGCTCAGTGGTAGAGCGTCAGTCTTGTAAACTGAAGGTCTGTAGTTCAATCCTGCATGGGGGCAATATTTTTTTTCGTTTTGTCGCTACAGTTTTATCCAATTCCAACTAAAGTCGCATAGTGGAAATCGCTATTTCTGTATCACCAATAGTAAAAATAGATCTTCTTCCATTGTATGGGATTCCAGTTTCTAAAATCTAAATCCTCAAAACCCTAATCCACAGACAACCCCCAGCCCTCCCCTTCTTTCAATTTCGTTTTTTGACCCTGCAATTCTTAACTGCAAAATGGCTACTTCTATTCTCCAGAAACTCCTCAGAAACCAATCTCAATCAGCTACAAAAATCATTCACCGACTCAACAAACCCCACCCGCCATTGCCTCCACCACTTCTACTTACCCAAGTTCCTAAGCAAACTAGACTATTGGATCATATACCTTTACAGGGTCAAACTGTGCGAGAAGAGGTTTCAAAAACGGAACTTTCGGTTTCTTCACCCGTCTACCCGAGTTTTTCTTTCGGATTTTTCCTGGATCCGGTTCCTTTAACCGGGTCGATTGGATCCGGTATCAGCGACTTCGTTTTGGATGATTTTCGGACGAAATGGTCTGACCCAGATTCTTTAATCGGGTCAATTCGACCCGGAGTAGACGACATTGTTTTGGATGATTCGCGGACTATATGGGCTGACAGTGTTAAGAAGAAGAGGAAGAGGAAGATGAACAAGCACAAGTTGAGGAAGTTAAGGAAGCGGCTAAGGAGGAAAACGTAGACTTAGATAGTAGTCACATTATTTTCTTAATCATCGGGCGAGGTATTGTTTTTCTTTTTTGGGGGGATAAAATAGAACTCAATTATTTGTTTAGGATAGGGTACCGTCCGCCGATCCCTTGTTTTACTGTATCACGGAAGGATTTTGCTAAATTATTGACTGTTTGTGGTGGAAGCAATTGTTGACTGGTTAAATGAGTTGGCCACCTCCTCGGAATAAGCTGACTACATTTGGTTCGTTTTGATAGTTAATTGTTGGGTAAATATTTCTTGGTCAAGTAATTTGCAAATGGGCAATGTGACTGAGAATGTTCTATTTAGCATTATATACATATTTTATAAGGTTCATCTGATTATGAATTGAAGGAATTTTGCAAATGTAGTGCACATTGTCAAATAAGTTGATTTAGATGATCTGAATTTAATGTATACCTGATGATATTTGTTTTTCTCTACTACATATTTAGTTTAGCTTAGGAAGCTTCACTTGAGAAAAAGAGGCTCAGGAGCATGTTGTGTACATCTATATACAGAGAAACTAGCTTGTTATTTGCTCATATTATACTTGGCTTTACATTTATAGATATAGGTAGACGATTGAAGCTTTTGCCTACTAGATTTAGCTAGAATGGCATGAAATTATACATGTCATGTAGTTATTGACATATATTTATGAATTATGAGAGTGCAGATAGGATTTGTTGTATATGATCACGACTTGGATATTCTTTATGCGTGGAATGAAAAATTCAATGCATGGGATTGATTTTTTTCCCTAGACATATGGGACAGGATAAAGAGTGTCATTTGGAACACTCGGTAATAAGAATAATCTTAGGAATTCAAAAATATTTATCAGTTTACTATAAGTTGCATTCAGTGTATCGATTGCAATATACATCTAGTGTTTCAGCTTCTCTGGTGTTGTTTTTGTTCATCATCTGATACATGAATTTTCTGTATATATTCTGGAAACTACTGTTGTGGGTCTCTCAAAGGACACGAATTTGTTGGGAGAGTGGAAGATGAAGTGTGAGGAGACTCGTACTGATTTTGATATCTTGATTAAACTTGGATTTTTTAGTGTGGTTAAGAGAACAAGAGCTAAAGAAATATACAAAAATAGAATATTATATGCATTGCCCATTAAGGATTTGTTCATGCTAGATTGTTGGTTTCTCAAGAGGATAAGTAACTGAAATTACATTGGACTTGATGAAACATCTCCATCAAATCAACTTTGAGGCTTACCTTGAGTTTCGACATGGAACTTAGTTTTTAATAGGTAGCAGCTGACAATTGACCTTCTATATGTAGAAACAATTTGCTTCTATGAAACAATTTGGAAATGACCATTTGGTCTAATTTGGAATAGTTTTAACTTCATGAGATATATATGGCGACTCTTTTTGATCTGGGATGAACAATGCTGACAGTGGTGATGGAGCGCCATAGTTGAAATCAAATATATTATATTTCTTCCCTTTCCTTTGATTTTGAATTCCTTGAATTAAATAAATATGCGCTGCTTCTGTGCTACATAACCAATATGTTTGTTGCGATGTTTCCCGTTTAACATCAACTCTCAAGTACCATTTTCTACTGTATTGGATACTGGGCTTCAATTTCTTATAAAGCTACAAGCCTCCAACTCAACCTTTCATGTTCTTCTTTCTTAACTTTTGGGGTTATAATTTCTCTTTCATTATAGGCAGCATCAACAATTGCTACCTACTGATTCCTCTGGGTCAAAGGTGGTCTGATATCTATATTATTATGACTTGGTGTTTCTATATTAATCATTGTGTATCAAAGATAGATCTGTGTTCTCAAATTGTATGTAATGGGATCACTACATTTTTTTGTTCTTTCTAAGTTTTTGAGATTCAGAATGGTACAATTCACTCCAGACACTCAGAAATTAATCTCAGGCTGCTACTAAAATCATCACATCTCAACAAACCTTGCCCACTATACTGCTGACTTTTATTCTGACACAAATCCCTCTAACTACCAAACCCATTGATGAAAACCTGTTTTGTCAACTCAGAATAAAGAATTAAACCGAATTATGGACTTGGTGGTGTGAAGTAGAAGAGAAAGAGGAAGATGACCATGTAGGTTGGCTGGTTTAAAAACCCAATTGAGGCTTGCCTCACAGTGAGGTGAACAAAAAAAGAAAGGCTCCAAAGGTGCGGATTGTGATGCAGTTTTAAGAGGCGTACAATTCAGTTGCGTGAGATGCACGCCTCATAGCACCATCTTAAAACCTGTGACTTTGTTTGCTTTAGGACCACAAAATATAAAAATTCTTATTGACCATTTCGGGAATAGCTCACTGCCTACTAAATGAGTAGTGCTATTTAGGAAATTAGATGTCATTAAATGTTATGTTCATTTAAATGCTAAAGTCAGTCAAAACATCCATTTAATTTGCACCTATCAAATGTCGACTCCTAAACTGGTGCTCTAGCGTCACTGGTGTTAAATAACATTATTCCTACTAAATCATTAAAAATTGTGTTTCTCATAGACCCATTTTGGGAATAATACATTGCCTCACCTACTAAAATAATTGTTTCTTCTGTTACTTTATATACTTTTCTTTTGTTTTTGGCAGAGTTAAAATTTTTTTATTATGAATTTTGAAGAATGTTTATGATTTATGATTAGCTTATTTTGCATTTTAATATTATTTTTTGGTTTATGGTGAGCCTTACGCCTCGCGTCGCCTCGCCTCGCCTCATGAAAGAAAAACACATCAATACTTGATTACACCTGTTTTAAACACGGGTAGGTTGAGGAAACTAAGGAAGCATCTCAAGAGCTGTTTTCACACTTATTTTTCTTCTTTTGGGGATGGTAGAACTTATTGTTCAAGTTACAGTAAGATCCATCTCTGTTTTGTTTTGTTTTGTATTGAGAATATTTTTTCCCATTAAATTTGTGGTGAACTTATTGCTTACTTTTTGAATGGGTTGACCACTATTTTGGAATAATTTGTATGCTTTTTGTTCATTTCAGTCTTGACTTTTGAGTATGCATTTGTTGCTGAGTAATTATTAAGTACGAGGACATCTGAGTGGGAATGTTTCTGAGTTCAAAATGCTCACATGCTATCAGCCTGAGATGATGTAAATATACAAATTAAAGTCCTCTTTGCTGAGTAAGTGATTTTTATTGATGATAATCAGTATTTGCTTGATACTTTGCGGGTTGTTTTTCCTGACATATTTGCTTGGTTCTTTGGCTAGCTTATTTGTGTTCCGGAAATGGGCAGGGGATGGGGCGAGAGAGCTTTCTGAAAGCAATATTGTCTAAGGACATTAGTCTGATGCAATTGTAGGGAGAAGCTTGGTGACTACATCTATAGAAAAAGAAACTCGTTCTAATCGTATTTTCCTACTACTACGAGACTTATTCAGTGGTTGAAGCTTTAGGCTCTGCACTAATAGCCGTGGCAGTATGTAAATGATGTATGCTTTCTGAAGATGTACACATCACACCAACTCACGAGAACAAGTTTTAAAATGAGAATGGTTTGATTTCCATGAGCCCTCTTTCAAGTTCTTGATTTTCATGCTGATAATAGACACCCTTTCAGTACCACATTAGAATGTCGCCATTTTTGACATAGTTATTTTACAATATTTGTCATGGATCTTATGTGATGGGATGGTGGTTGGGTTGTCTAAGGCATGGTTTCTATTAGCCAACCAGTTCCTAGTATCTCGACCATAAATTAATTATTCGACAGCGATGGTGTCAATTCTGGAGTGAGCGTTTCAAGACCAAATATTTGGCTTGTTTATAAGGATACAAGGCACAGGGGATTGCTTGTCTTTATGGACAATGAACCCAAATTTCTTTTCAGGGAGTTACTTATAAGTGAACTTTTTGAGCTCGACCAATCATGGTTTACTTTTTTACTGGAGCTACAGAGCCATATCTCCTTTAAAAAGTTCCCAAATTCGTTGTCTGGTTTGAATTTAAAAAGCTTGGAGAATTCTTTAACAGGGGAATGTTCCCAATATGAGCTACAATGTTCTTGGATTCGGATTTAATAGTCCAAATTCATCCTTTTTTTCCATTGTGAAAAATGCAATGTCAAATAAAGAGGTTCAACAAGTCAAAATAAGTTTGGCATGAAAAGACTTGTGTTTGCATGACCATTTTTTAGCTTAGTGGTAATGCTTATTTGTGTTTGTTCTGCCTGTTAAATTACTACAACTATTTATTTTATTTGAATTTGAATTTGAGATTGATTGTGAAAAAATATATATAGAGTTATCGAGTCAAAAACAGATTATATAAAATACAAAAATTTGCACTTTTTATCCTCTATTTGCGAAGTTTTACTAATCTATTTTCAACCTTTTTTGTGCATCAGAACATCGTCAACCTTTTGAAAATGTAGCAAACGTCGTCCTTTCATCCAATTTGGTCATTAAAGCACGAAAAATGGCTAATTTACCCTCTATTTAAATAAACACAAAAAGAAAGCAACTTAATTCAAAAAATAAAGGAAAATTGTAGTAGGATTCCTGAATCTTTTCAAAAACTACAAATAATTACAATTAAATACAATTGACCAAACAGAAATAGAAAAAGAATGAAAAAAGGAAAAAAGGAAAAAAAGAAGAGTCTTGTCCAATCTCCTCCACAATTCCCCACCAAAACACCACCTGGTTGGGGAACGTTGGGAAGACGACCCCTTTTTTAATTGATCTATTGGCAATATTTGACAAGATTTAGGGCTTTTTTCTTTATTTTTTCTATCAAGTTGCTTTTTTTCTTCGCCGAGTGAATAGATTGACCTTGCCTGCCCAGTGTCGAAAGGCCAAGGAAGTTGGTGACTTGATGATAGGGGAGCCTGCGATTGAAGCCTAGGTGAACGGCGACTATAACTATAACGATCCTAACGTAGCGATCAAGGGCTTTAAATATACTCTTTTTCAATCGGGTTTCACAGGCGACCATTTGATAGCCTTGTTCCTAAATATACAGAATAGGGCTTCAATGAACCCCATATGTAAAGGGTTCTTGTACCTTTCTAAGTAATTAGAAGACCTTGAATTAGATCCTTTTGAAACAGATGAATCTTGGATTGATTGTAGAAACAGAGACCAACAGTAGGACAAATAGGCGGATTATTCACTTTGAAGCACGTTCGTCGACTGGATCAATGCATGCATGAACCCAACAAAATCCCCAAGGTCTAGTCTAGAAAAATTCCAAATTTTGTTGGGTTAGTTCAACGACAAGTTTTGATACATATTCAAAAGGTTGAGGATGTATGATGCTAAAAAAAGTTGCTGGTAAATCGGTAAGAGTTTGCAATATAATATGCGACGAAAAGTGAAAATTTTCCTATAAACTATAAAGACGAGATTATTTGGTAATATGTGGTTTAACCTAAAGTTTGTTGTTTATATTAATTTAATTAGCTCAAATCATCATCATATCCCGTGGAGATTTTGTGGTCATTGAACATGCTTCTTTTACTTTATCCAAAATCATCTACCATTGTATCCTTCATTATTTTAAACTACTTTTTCTTCACCTAACCTAATTATTATAAAATTTGGCACCAAAGCCCGTCCTATTTAAAACGCGTGAGTGTGAACTTATCATTGACGTACAAATAAGAGAGTAAAATTTTGCACTGCTCATTTAAAATATTATTCTAATAGTCATTTTCTTCGACTTTTAAAATGTAGCGAATTGATCTTAAATATTTTATTGTAATTATACAATTAGTTAATAATTATGATCTTAAAATGTAGCGAATTGATCCTCGTATGTGTAACTTTACGAAACTAAATTTTGCTTCACAATTTGGTTGGATCGATTGACGTTAAAAAATTTAAATTGATTTACTTGTTCACGAGAATCAGGGACGGATGTAGGAGAGCTCAGTCCAGTTCTCAGCCCATTGAATTTTTTTTGGTAGGATTTTTTTTTTATGTTTAAAAAAAAAAAAAA